CAGCTGGGACGATGGCTTTCGTTCTCTGACCATGTCTGCCTCCACTCCATCAGTGCCAATGCCCGGAAAACTTCTCCAGTTCTCATGTGGATTTTTAAAACAGGACAAAAACGTGCTTTGGGCTGCTTGGCCACCTGCGCGGAGGACACGTGCTCAGGAGGCAATGGGGGGTTTACAGTGGAGGGTCCGTTTTGGGTGCTGCTTTTGTGTTCTTCCAGGCTTGCGTGCGCAATCTGGTCGCCGACAGCTTTGGTACAACCCCGTTAGCACAGGCGGTGGGCAGATTGACAGGGAACCTGTGGAACGGAGAATTTTCTGAGGGGTTTTTTGAGGCCCTTGCAGTCTTTCACCTGACATGAGTCGTAGGGCTGAAAGGGATTTCTCCAGGTCACCGAGTCCTGTGTATGGCTATCACAGGCAACTGCATCCTGCCCTTCTGTCCATTAATTCATCCATCTTGTGCTTAAAACCAGCTGGATTGGGTTTTAGCTCCACTGCTTGCTTTCTGCGACTTCTTCCCTTTGATCTCCTTTAGCAGCCAGCATCTTTCTCTGTCGTGCCAGCTGTGATCTTAGCAGACCGATGCCTTAAAGTACGCAGTGCAATGAAGAAAAGTCCTTCTGAATTCTTCCCCACGACTGAGCCACCTGCGACCGTCCTTGAAGCGCAGCCTGCCGAGCTGTGCTCCTACCCTCCTCCTCCGGAGACCTGGGGTTCAGCTGACTCCACGTCTTTGACCACCATCTTCCACCCACTGTCCTTTTCCTCCATCCGCTCTAGCTGCAGTCAAGTTCATAAACTTCAAGCCGATGACTGATTTTCCTCCTGGCGGTTCTTCATAATAGTGTGACCGCAGTCGTGTATCTCTTCAATGGCCTGATGCCATCTGAAATCCATATTCTCTCCCTTTTATTCTTCTGTCCGCAGATGGCTCTGTGTTCTGTGCTCTCCTGCTACCTGGTGTATTCTCTGCCCATCGCCTTTATACCCCAGACCTCTCTTGGTTTACTTTTTCTTGCCAGGGACCCAGCTGTTCTCCTCCTCTTTGTTATTCCCAGTCTTTGTTTTTTTCTTGTTCGGCATCACATCAAGCCCCTTTGTTCAGCTTTTCTTTCGCAGTCGCCAGTGTTTCTCTCTGTCCCTCTTGGGATCTGGCCTTTCATGGTCGCACCGCTCCCAGAAGGTCCTCTTGTTCAGCAG